CGTGAGGCGACATATTCTCAGTATCTATATGCAGAGACTGGAATGAAGTTGGCCAAGTAGATCTCATTGACTAAGAGCTTCCATATTGGCCCAGGATAGCCCCAGTCAGGGAGTCCTGGCTGACAAATGTAAACAGGAATCTTGGGGATTCTCTTCACTCTTGGGACTGACCCTGAGCTAGCTGGTAAGACTCCACGTACCGTGCATGTGTAAATAAAGGGTGACCTGGTGTCAGGATACCAGCCTCTGTGGAGTTATTTAACTATACTTGAAGATTTTATGTTTCAATAAGATCACTTCACAAGCCCCAAAGAATCTGTTCTAAAATTGCTCAATCTTTGTCTTATGAGCAATCTCCTCCTTCCAAAACCTTCACTAAACTGCATCCAAGGATATCTCTACTTATGCAAGGGGACTGTATTGATTTTTGGTTCCCACAGTTTGCTTTCACCGGTGAAGTGTACAGTTGTTGCAAGTCTTTCCCACTCTGATAATTCATCCCCTGTAAGGAAAGGCCAATATTCCATGGGCCTTCCCAATTACTGCATGCTAATTTTTTTTATATTTCACACACAAAAGGACACTCCAATGCTTTTATAACACGTCACTCTGCAGTTTCCTTCCAATTTATACTCTGCCAACCAAAATGCTAACCTCATTTCCACATTATGTTCCATCTGCCAAATGCTTTGCTCATTTACTTAGCCTATGTATATTTCTCAAACAGAATCCTTCTCAACTTGCTGCCCTGCTGGCTGAGTATCACAAATTCAGCAAATCTGCCCTTGTTCTCTTAATTACTTTAATGAAGATACACAATATTAAATGCTTTAATGGTCACCTTTTACCTAGATCAACAACTTTGAAAGGGAAATTGTTCCAATTTCAAAATTCCATGCTCACAATTTGTCTATGCTGGTCAGCATTGTAAAACATCTAAAACATCTTCCCATCAACTGCTCTGAAGAAGATACAAAAAATCACATGAATCTCATTTTCCAACCCAAGTCTCATCTGAATCCCTTGCAGCACAATTTCTTTATTGTTAAAATCATGCCCAAATAGTACAAACTATTTCTACTGTAATGTAACTGAAGATCCATTTATAGTCTATATACACTCAGGATAAAAGATATTGCATTAATCACCATATCCAATCTGCAATAAGGCCCCAAAGCACTTCACATAATTCATTACTTTCGGGTTCAGTCACTGCTGCTAGGAGTCAGTTAATTTGAGAGTTGCAAGGTCGACAAATAGAAATTGACTATTGGCTGGCTGATTCATCATTTAATGGTGCGCATGGAAAGAAGAATGTTGGTCTGGACATTAGGAGGAACATCTTATAAATGCATTCATTCAATCTTCACTACTCACCTGAAATGTTTGCTGTCTTCCTTTTCAAAGTCTCATCAAAAGAACAGCATTCAGACAGTATAGCTTTGCATCGGTAATGCAAATGGAGGATCAGGAGGGGTTAGATATTCAAATCAAAGATGCGCAAATGCGAAACAATGACCATCTGGTGCAAGAGGCAACATACTACCAGTTAAATCACATGGTCACTTGATCGTAAAGATACATCACAAGTCAAGAACAATATTAGCTCCATATCTTACATAAAAACAGTGGAAAAACACACCCACTGTACTATTCTAGCAGAAATATTGAATGTTCCTCAAAACATGCAAAAATCAGAACTTGCTACCACAGAACAGCACGGGTGGATTTAAGAGGAAGCTCAATAAATACATGAGAGAAAAAGATTGTTGAATGACACAAGTAGGATAGAAAATTCATTGAGTAAAGCATAAACACTTCTATGGAAGTGGAGGCAAATAGTTTACATTTATGCTGAAAGTTTATGCGTAATTCTACCAAAGATTTAGATTTACTGCACCAAAACATGGAATATTTCACATTTATCAACATTAAAACCCCATTCCATTTTATATTTACTCCATCCAGAACTATGAATACTATCAGCTTCTCTACTAATGATCAGACAAAACCAAACTTTTATTACCTTCTTTAACAACACATACAAATATGAACCAGAGTCTTGGAAGAAATCCACAGATCACTATTGATAACACCACACTACTCTCAGGAAATTTCCATTTTCTTTTTCTCAACAGTTGTCAAAAAACTATTGATTATAATTTTCTTCAAGACAGATGCTTGTAGAGAATTGAAAATTCACTCCACATTAAAGTATATATTGGTTCTCTGTGCCCAATTGTAAACTGCCCATTTCTAGTTGGGAAACCAACTTTTGAATTAGACATAGAAATGCCAGCAAGATGGAATTAGGAATACAGACTTGTTTATTTTCAATTCCTTACTCTCTCTCGAAGATGTGCATTTTTATTTATTCATTCTCTCTGGGTGCCACTGACAAAACCAGCATTTGTTAAGGATAGTGGTCAGTCACCCTCTGCACAGTCCAGAGGTTTACTAACCACGTCAAAAGGCAGTTAAGAATAAACAACATTCATGTGGTTCCAAAATTATACAGAAGCCAGAGATTTCCTCCTCTAGGTAATATTAATAAACCAGACAGATCAGATAGAAATCAGATAGTACTGGTAAACTCACAAATCAATACTAGCTTTTTTATTTCAGATTTATTTAATTAACTGAATTTAAATTGCTTAGTTGGCATGGAAGGGTATAACGCATGCCTCCAGATCATTAGTTCAGCCCTGTGGATTACTAAGCCCGTAATATAACCACTACACTACGGCTCCCATTGTTTGCTCAACATTTAACAGACAGAACAACTGTGAACAGCATTTGAAGGTGGGGAAATCATGAGCTTACTACACTATGATGCAAGATTCCAATTACACCGCTGCTTCTGGCCCAACTTATTTATAAAATGGCATGTTTGTGATCAAAGCTATCATGCTGCACAGTTACAAAAATACTTCTTAGGACTTTTCCACTGACTAAAAATGTTAAAAACTACATTGTTTCCTACATACTTGAATAATCACTTGGTACTTAATTCAATTCGGTTTCCTGCCCAAATTATTTTTGGCACAGTGAAGTGAAAAAACAAGAAAGATATTTAGAAACAAAAATTTAACAAACAGATCGGACAGTGGCTCTTCAAATTCACAGATTCTAAGCATTGCTTCTCCAAAACATTGAAAATTAGTTGTGTTCTATTACTGTTTAATTCAGAATATACAAACAAAACAAACTCTAGGACTTCTTTACTTTAGAAATAAATCCATCAAAACTTATTTGTTGTACTCCACTGACTGGTGATCACAGCCTACCTATCTTACCATTTTTCGAAATGAAGTTACTTTTCTCGCCACACTCTCCTTAGGGCACTCAAATTTGTGCTCTTCCAAAAAGAAAATATTTCTATAACTACCTTGCATATCAAAGTCTTTCAGATAGTTCATTGACATTTGGTCAAATTTAGTAACTACTTTATGGCAACATAAATGGTCAACAATGGTAACAAGAACAAGGACAATTAATTGGTACTGAGTAGTGCCTAACAAAAAAAAAACGTTGAGAGTTATATCCCTGCTGTTTTTTTTGAATATTAAAAATGGAATATTCAATGCCATCTCAACCACTAGAAATAACAGGTGCAATTTCCATTTATTTTCAAGCGTAATCCAAAGAATAGCACCTCTGAAAATGTAGTTGCTTGCAATGGAGTGCCACTCTAAGTTAGATTCTGTTTTGTAGATCTTAAAGTCTTAGACTAAGTGTGTATCATTCCAATTCAGGCAATAACACCACCAACTGTGCGAAATCAAGAGTCTTCAGGGTAAAACAAAAGTCGTGTCAACATTGCCATTTTGTGACTCTCAAATCAGTACTTTTGATTAAATCTTTGCGCAAGAAGCTACCCATCTCCCAAAATAACTTTATGAACACTACATTGAATAAAGTAACCAGAAATTAAGCTATTTTAATATGGTATTAGTTACAAACAAAAAAAGTGATTAAGGTGATGAGTCACTAGTTTCAGCATTCAAGTACTAGATATCTCAATCAAAAGCAACTTAAATTCAATTTGGGTCTCGAAAGCAAGTCAGGATTTACCCAACCTGACATAGTCAGATTTTGGGACCATCTTCTCCGTCAGGGAGAAAAATAATGTCATAGCGTTACAGACATAACCACACATCTTATAAAATTCACCAGTGAACCATAGAGCAAAATTAACGTATTAAGATAAACTGCAACATAGAGGACGTCACCAAAGGTGCTCTTCTCAAAAATGAAGCAGCTGGGCACCACCCTCAAGACATTACAGAATGTTGGAAGAAATATTTGGAGCCACTCGAGATAAAAAGGGCAAACAAGTCAGTTTGAAAGTTTACCAAAAGCAGCAATAAGAAATCACATTAGGAAATGATTTTGCTGACGACTGTCAAAATTCTTAAGGTATCTAAATATCCATTACATTGGTTCAGAACTATCACATTGTAAAAAAAGTTCAAAATAAATGCCTGTATGCTTGACACTCCAGACCTAAACCGGTGGTATTTAGTAGCAGCAAGTTACATGCAGGAGCTTTAGTTGTTTGCTGCTCATTTTAAAACTTTAATAATCCTACCTTCTGACAGTAGCCTTCAATTTTTAGGAATAAAAATACCATGAAGAAATTTTTCCAAAAATCCTATGTGTAACTTAAAAAGAAAGACAAAGAGAATCTTCTGGAGGTGAGGAATTACAGAAAAGCCAAAAGGCTTAGTTCCAGGTGAAAAACTACATATACTCGTGGTTCAAATAAGATGGTCTTAACATAAAAAAATGATAATTGCTTCTGCTTGAAGTTAAACCTTAAAACTTTAAAGGTTATGCTGCCAGTATGCACTTTTTGGACACGTTAGTAGTATTTCAACATAACGCATTTGTACATGTGCAAAATTTGACCATTTAAAAGAATTTGTTTTACTTTTTGATCTATAATCTCTATATGAAAGCAAAAAGATTCCTTTACTGGAGCTTTATGTTATTCTTACCGGAGAAGCAGTTCCTTTGGGAGTTTCTTGTTTATCACAGCTTCATCGTTGTTCGAGAACATCTAGAAAACAGACGGTTAGTGTTAGAACATGCCAGGAGCAAAACAAAATTCAAACAACAACAAGAATGGAAACAAATTTGGAGGCTCCATTCTCTACTCACTGCTGTTTAAAAGTAGCAATCACTGGGGATGGGGAGTATGAAATGGAAAGTGACCATTTCAAATAAGGGCCAGTCAGCAACCCCGCAGGCATCAGCAACAGCAGCCGAGCATTGGAATTATTATGTGAATGGCAAACTTGAATCATTACCTCATCAACCCCTGATCAAGATTAAGATGAAAAATTCTGAAAAAAATTTCAGCTGTTGCGCACAAACAGAAAATATATAGCTCAGCAATAGGGAAGCTTAGGAATAATCCTGGCTTTTAGTTTCCAAAGTCTCATCTGGGCTATCTTGTTTGTCAGTTGAAAAGAAAATTACAAAGTACTGATCCTACCTCCTAATCCTCACTTTGAGAGAGGAAATGACATATATAGGGAGAGGCAATGTATGAAGCTAAATGATTAATATTTTGATACATATGTACATATAAACAGTTAAATGCAGTGCCAGAAAACAGCAGTTCCCACTCTCCTCCTAGTTCTGCGCCGTGTCAATTATAACTGCCAACGTACTGTAAGATACTCCAATTGAAAACTAGATTAAAAAATACATGCTACATCTTCCTTGGTACTCTTCCAAGTCTGCAAGCATGGCAGAGAACAAAGACCTTCAGAACTCGAAAAAAAACGACTGGCTCAAATACTTTTCGTAGAACAAACTATGTTACAACTGAACAAGTAAGAATACCTTCATTGGACAAACAGAGCCAAAGTTACCAAATCAACAGTTAGCAGACAGTTATCACTGAAATGAGTTAGCAGGGACGCCAATGACGCCATTCAACAATATTTAATTGAAGATTTTGTCTGTTCAGTCAGCAATTTGAGAGCAAATATTAAAAAAAAAAAGGTGCTGACAGCAGTAACTCATACTGCAACTACATACAAGTTATATTTTTGTATATTTAAGACAAAAATAACTAAAATTAACCTAGGTGCAGAGCTGGATGAACACAGCAGGCCAAGCAGCATCATAGGAGCCGGAAGGCTGACGTTTCAGGCCTAGACCCTTCTTCAGAATGTCAGGTTATGCATGTGGACTACAACTCCCCACACGCTGCTCAGTGCAGCTTCCCTTCTGACTCTCAACGTTGACTTTGAACCAGAAAGTGGTCCCATACAATACACCATTATTTGTTTTGTGACAACTCAGACAAATCACGCAGAAAGATATTACAAAGCTGTTGCAACTTCCACAACAACATCTTTCTGCAACTGTACAATCAACCTTCAATTCACAGTACTGTGGTACTAGCCAAGTAGTTTATGAATAATGCACAAATTGAATGAACTTTTTAGTTACAAATAAAGCAAAACTGTGCAGGGATCCAAAACCAATAAAATGAGACCAAAACTAAGTGCAGGACAGATGCAACCCTGAGAAAATAGAAACAGCAAGGAGGAGGAGAAAAAAAAAAGAAGAGTTTTAACCAAGTCACTGTCAATTCTTGCAGAGATAGTAGGAACTGCTGATGCTGGAGAATCTGAGATAACAAGGTATAGAGCTGGATGAACACAGCAGGCCAAGCAGCAGGAAAGCTGACGTTTCAGGTTTCACTTGATTTGCTGCCCTCTGTGCAGACAGATTGCTAACATCTTACAATCACAAAAATTGAGCGAGAAGAAAAGAAAATCTTTATCCGTGACCTGCACATCTCATGAATGAATTTTATTGAAAGTATACCACGCTTTTAAATAAAAAAATATATCTAGGTTACTCACTCAGTAAAATTTCATTTAGAAAACAATGGGTCTGGGCATTTTATTTGGTAAGAGAAAGTACTCTCAAATATTGAGGTTTTTATTTTTATTTTTTAAAAACCCCTTTTCCCAATTCCAAAGTTGTTTTAATTTTTTCTATTTGTCTTTACATTGAACAAAAAAAAAAAAAAATCCTCACCAGTTTCATCTCTCCTCCCTCTGAATCTACGAGGGATTCAGGTGAAGTATTTTCTTTTGCTCTTGACCTAAAAGAGTAACACCACTAACTTCACATCAGTGAAAGCTGATAATTATAAAATCTGTTGAGTACCCAACAGATTAACAACTCAATGTGTTGCAGTTCATAACAGAAGCACTTGTTACACATTAACACTGCTAAACTCCTACCAGGTCAGTCATTACATTTCAACCCAAAGCTTAACTTGAAAGTTGAACAAATATCCCCAAACTAGACAATACACTTGTTTAGTTCCTCTCTATTACAGACCAAAATGACAAAAGAATAAAACGCTTTACTTCTGGTCTCCATTTCAACACTCAAGAAGCTCAGGGTTCACAAGCCACTCAATGTCTTAATTATTAAAACTATTTCCGTGACTAGTCAGTAGACAAGCTGAAAATGCTCTCGGAAGTTGAAACCAAAGAAAAACACAAATGCAGCCAATGGTACTTCAAATACCCAATACAGCCATTTCTTACAAATGAAAGGTAAATAAGGCCGCAGTGCTACATATGGTACACAGATTTCAAAACCACCTAAAAAAAATTTCAACTCGCCTCCAACAGGCTGTACAAAGCCATTGAACTAGGCCAGTAACAAACACTTAGTGTCAGTCACCAGATACAGCATTTCTGCTACTTGACTGAAAATAGTTCAGTTCACTGACAGGAGAATCAGTAACCAGAGGACAGATTGAAGACAGTGGAGGAAATAAGACATAGGGAAGAAAATGAGGGACACAGATTCCACCCACACCCCCCCACAACCGTCAGAAAGAGTGATGGAACACATTCAAAACCAATATATAAGCATAGAATTGAAAGGCCCTTGAGGTGCAGTGGAAATGTCCCTACATCTAGGTCAGAAGACCTGGGTTCAAATCCTACCTGCTTCAAAAGGTGTGTAATAACATCACTGAACAGGATGATTAGAGACAACTGAATAAATACCTAGAGATTAAACAGTCAAGGCCATGGGTAAAGAATACAGGATTTAATTGTATGCTCTTTCAAAGGGCTGACAGAGATTATGGGCCGAGTGGGGGATTTTCAGTGCTGCACTATTCAACAACTCTATTGATGCCCACCTCCAAAACAGCTTTAGAGATTTTAAAATGAGGTCATGGGAACATCCAATTGAAATATAGAATTGGGAGGGGAGATGGAGTGGATAGAACCTCGACTGAGGTGAGCACTAACCAGTGCCTTCGATTTAAGCCAAGAGGAAGCAGTTTAAAAAAAGGGGATTCAAGAAAAGCATTTTCTGTCTCCACCGAAGGGGAGGTGGGCATCTGGAAATGACTCCCTGAAAATGGAGGAGGAAGCAGAAACCCTCAATACTTGGACATGTACTTTAAGAATCAAAACTTTAAAAAGCTTGCAAACTAACAGCTGGAAAGTGGGATCAAGGTTACTGGTCGGATAATAGTCACATAGTAGCCTGAACGTAAAGGTAAAGGTAAACTTCAACAATTCTACAGTGACACAGGAGAAACCCTTGAATCCTAAGTCAGTGTGTGGATTTCTAGTCGCCTCCAAAAGGGAATCTGCCTCCTTTTGGATCTTAGCACTGAAATTTGAGCTCAGAAGTTTTGGTGATTCAGGTTTCTTCAAGTTCAAATGGGATATTATCAGTTTCACTGCACTGTTTTTCCAAACAATTGGAGTAGATAAAAAAGCTATATAAAAGTTGTCAAAGTTGATCCTTGGCTAAGGCAGCCCCACATTTCAAAATTTGTTTGCCATCCATATACAAGACAAGATAAAGCATCCCACTGCTCCTCAAGTGACCCTAATCAAGTTGATCAGAGACTGCAATTTTCCTCATCTATATGGCTCAATTTCACAGTGCATCTTTATAAACTGAGTCAAAAATGGAACAGTAAGCACTCACTTTTTAAAAGCATGATTAGTTTATGGGATACATGCATTTAAAAAAAAAAAAAAAAAAGACATTTGGCGCTCATCCCTTTCAGGTAGGTGATGAGGAACCATCATCTCAAACCTGAGCAGACTACAAGGTAGGTGCGTTTATCACGCTGGGGTTCGGGCATTGAAGAAACAGGAATAGAATTCCAAGGCAGGATAGTGTCTGGTTTGGTGGGGAAGTTGCAGATGGAGGTTTTCCCATGCCTCTCTACCCTTCTGTTCTTCCACTTGGAGATGGTATCAGGAGCCTCGGCAATTTGATGCAGTACATCTTGTTGAGGATTCTTTGCTGTGGAATGTTTAAGGTGGTAAATCAAGCAGGCTACTTTGTCTTCAATATTACAAGAACTGCATTCAGAAGGCAATAGAGACTGAGTTTTTATTGCAATCCTGACTTGTGCTTGCGAGAAGGTGGACAGGTTTTCAGGAATCAAGTCATGAGTTATTAACTACAGAATTCCCAAAAACTTTGGCCTGATCTTTTAGCTACAGTATGTATAGTCCAATTTCTGATTAATGGTGACTCCCAGGATGTTAATATTCGGGGAATTCAGCAATAGTAACATTGCTGAATGGCAAAAGGGAGACACTTAGATCAATTCTTGTTGGAAATGTATTCAAGGCCGTCAAGGTCCAGGTCTTGCTGTGTATACAAACACATTTCCGCATAAGACTATATACACAAGCAGAAAGAGGTGGGTGGGGGGGACAGGGTAGGGAACAGAACAACGTTTGTCCATACTTCAGTGAAATGCGCAAAATCCCAGGATGCTTATGCAAGCTTCAGAATGACAGAAGTGTTTTGACACAGAAGACAATTCAGCCCATCGTGCCTGCACCAGCTCATTAAATGAACGTTATCTCATCTCAATCTTCTTTTTTTTCTCCCCCAACTTTTTTTCAAGTCACAGCAGAAGTGGTGTGTACAAGCCAAAAAAGGGAATTTATGATAAAAATTCCACTGGTGATACACTCAAAGTTGATGTCAGAATAAATGACCAAGCCTTGTTATATTTAGCATTTGAAG